AGAAGGACCTGGGGGTCTTGATGGATGAAAAACTTAACGTGAGCCAGCAGTGTGCTCTTGGGGCTTGGAAGGCAAATGGTATCCTGGGCTCCATCAAAAGAGGGGTGCCAGCAGGGGCAGGGAGGTGATTGTTCCTCTCTACTCTGCTCTTGTGAGGCCCCATCTGGAATACTGCGTCCAGGTCTGGAGCCCCCAGTACAAAAAAGACAGGGAGCTGTTGGAGAGGATCCAGAGGAGAGCCACGAAGATGATCAGAGGACTGGAGCACCTCGCCTATGAAGACAGGCTGAGGGAGCTGGGCTTGTTCAGCCTGGAGAAAAGAAGGCTTCGGGGGGGCCTCAATGCAGCCTTTCAATACCTAAAGGGAGCCTACAAAGAGGAGTGGAATCAACTCTTTGAAAAGGTTGATAACTGCAGGACGAGGGGAAATGGTTTTAAGTTGAGGAGGGGAGATTTAGGTTGGATGTCAGGGGAAAATTCTTTACAGAGAGAGTGGTGAGGTGCTGGAACAGGCTGCCCAGAGAGGTTGTGAATGCCCCGTCCCTGGAGGTGTTCAAGGTCAGATTGGATGGGGTCCTGGGCAGCCTGGTCTAGTATTAAATGGGGAGGTTGATGGCCCTGCATGTGGCAGGGGGGTTGGAGATTCATGATCCTTGAGGTCCATTCCAACCCTGGTCATTCTGTGATTAGTTACAGACTATTTCTTAGTTTAAAAAAAATTATTAGATGAGAGCTGATGCTGTGGATGGAGGGAGTCAGACCTGAATGAAGCTCATGAAAACAGTAGCTGCTCTTTATTTGTACCTCATTCAATTGGAGTGCTAGTTTTTATCATTTTAAACACAGAACCCTAAACCTCAGCCTGGGGAAGGCGGAGCTGAACTTCATGTTTCTGACTATAAAAATACGTCTGCTCATTTTATGGGTCTGAACACATTTGAGAGAGATAAAATGAAAAACCCAGTGGAAGAAGCAGAGTGTATTCACGACGAGCTGGCACAGTGCTTATCCTGAGAGTGCTAGGGAAAGCGGAGCTGGTGACGTGAGGCTGGGAAAAGCACGGCACACTGAGAAAGGGAAGAGCCTCTTATTTGTTTCTATGGCTTTTGCTCTTTTTGCTCCCTCTTCTTCCCTTTTTTTGTTAAACGGAAGTGTATCAGAGAAATACCCATCTGAATTTCTCCTAATCAAGCAACCAGAAACAACCTGAAGATTTTGTTCCGTATTAGTCCAAATACAGATGAAATACAAATACAGAACTCAAAGATGGGGGGGGGGGGCCTACCAGAAAAACATTCCGAAAAGGGGAGAAGTGCTTTATAAAGCATTTATTTTGCTCCAGGACAGAATTCTCATAGCGCAGACTGACCTGTGCTCTCAGATAACCGTGCTGTCTCTGTGCAGAAGATATAAAGCCCACTAAGGTGGTCAGTAAATCTCAGTGAAAGCAACGTAATACCAATTATGCATACGTATGCACTAATTGTATTTCTTGCTTCTCACCACCCCTTTAAGATCTCACTAAATCTCACCCTTGGTTTATGGCTTTAATCGACCTTCCTTCAGAGCCCGGCTCTTTCCCGCACTGAGCCCTGAGGTAACGTCGCGCGCCACCGCGTCTGGTCTCGGCGGAGCGACGCTCCGTGCAGCCACTGCCCGGCTCCGCGGGGCCGCCCTCGCCCGTCACCGCACCTCCGCGAAGCGCAGCCCCGAAATGGCGGCGTGCGTTTGACCGGAGGCTCGTTGACGCGGCGAGTGGGGCGGAGGCTCCCCTCTCCGAGGTAACGCCGGGGTGGCCGGCGGCGCCAGGGTTTCTCCGATACTCTGAGAAGTCCACTGCTGCAGGGGAACGTACACAGGCATTACGTTTTTTGGAAGGTAACAGCTGTGCCTAATGCTGCAAGCGGACGGAGAGGAGGCGAACTTAGAGTGTCCTTCTAGTTACTTCTCTAAAGCAGTGCATTCCGTTTCTTTGCAAATATAAAATATTTCTTAGTTTTTATATTTAAAACCTGGTGGGTTTTTTTTGTTTGTTTGTTTGTTTGTTTTTAATTCTTCTTATTGAAATCTGTGCTCTAAAATTCCTGTATCACTGTGCAATGAAAACCCAGGCTTGGTGTTTTGCTTTGAGGTACTTTGAAACAGTTAAGTACAAAACTCTGTTCCTGTGTGAAAATTCCTGTTAGTGCAAATGCATAATGCTGGCCCAGAGTCAGCAATCCAGCTGCAGTTACGGAGGTTTCTTTCTTGCCAAGGCAGTGAATTGGTTCTGTCTCAGCCCATAGTCAAATTCTGTGGAAAATGTTTTCCCAAAAATATGTCAAATTCCTTTTAGACCCCTTTTGTACCCTCAAATTAACTTCACTCAATTCTTGATGCATGATTTCAAACTACAATGCATTTATTTTCCTAACGCAATGTCCTTTTATCTGGTGTTTATCTGGGTTGATGCAGATTATTGACACTGTAGCACATAAAGTGAAAATAGAAGTGTTCACCCAAGTTCTGTTCAGAAATGAAAATGTGACCTGAACCAAGCAGAGCTCTTTTGCCCCTGGGTTGATACTTTCACATAGCAGTCCTGATAGCAGGTGAGCTGATCATAGGATGCCAAAAGCCAGTTCAGACCCTTTTCAAATTGAAGGTCAGTTTAAGTGCAAATAGATCAGTTTGGAAACAGCAAATATGAGCTTTTTCACCCACTGTGCGGACATTTGCTGCATGTGGTGCTCTGTGGTTAAGCACCTGCAGGAGGGTTGTCTGCAGCAATACACAGGTGTGTGTGGAGAGTGAGGACAGCTGTGTGATCCCCCCCTCAGAATTGTTTGCTGCCCAGCTACGTGCACGATAAATTATTTCTCCAGTACCACTCAAAATCTTTGGTTAGAAGAAACATACCTGTATTATTGGCTTTGTGAGTACAGGGATGAGAGAGATAGCAAGTAGTGGCTGTTTGGCTGCTTTAAAACCTGCCAGGACCAATTTCGCAGTGTTTCTGCCAAATGCATTCAGAATAAAAAGTTCACTGGACAAAGACAATGATTCTTGCATGCTAATGGCTGGAGGACAACAAAAGACTCCTGAGTGCAAAACTTTTTCTAAGGAAATGGTCTGTGTTGCAAAAACAGAAGTTACTGTATTTGCCAGTCTTCTGCTAGAGGAAGTGATGGAGAAGAGAATAATGAACAAAGTGCTCATAGACTGTGCAGTGCTGTGAGGATATTCAAAGAACATTTGTGTTCAGGAAGGTGTTCTGGAATACTGAAAATTCATTTGCTTATATTCAGCGTAAAAAAAAATTTGGCTGGTGCTGTTTTTCTGTACCTTAGTTCCAGGCTGTCATCTAAAAAGCACAGCGATGCACTGCATGTAGCTGTAGCTTCTCTTTCCTTAGTTCTTACAGATTTCCTTTTTCTTCAGGTATGGATGTAAATTCCTGTGATCCAACCCAAGGAAACATGAGAAAGCAGGAAGTGAGGTGAGGGAAGAACCTAAGTGTTAGAAAGAGAAAAGGAGAAAGGGGGGAAAAGCCTCATACAAACCTCAAGCGTAACTGGCCCAAGAAAGCACTAAACTTTTTACCAACCTTTTCTACTGCTGAACTTCACTAATGTTGAGTTAAAGAATACAAAGGCACTTTGGCTTATTTGTTCAAGGGAAGAGGAGAATGCTCGGTGCCTGCAGGAACAGTCAGCTCTTTGTTCAGTAGGAAAGATCTGTCCTGGTTTTATTCTCTTGTAGTTTGATTCCTTTTCATAAAATTAAACTGAACTGGACTGTGGGAGAATAAGCAAGCTGCAGTGTATCAGCAGTCATCCAGGATGCAAGTTCAGAGTGGGTGTTTTCAGTAATGTCTAAAGCATTGCAGTTTAAAAGCATGGAGCCTTAGTGTTAACAAGAGGTATCAAATACGTGAACTTATTTGCTGTGGTGGATTATCACAGTGCTGTTTGATACAGACCTGTAGCTCCTAAAATAGTGAGAGGAGATGGGAAAGGTAAGGGAGTTGCAGCAGGAGAATCTAGAACACAGAAAGTGCACTGTGAAGGTGATGATCACACAAGAATTGACAGTGTGCAGCTGGGGAGAGCATCTGTTCCACTGATTGGTTTAAGCAGCAGATACTCTGCAGGTTGAAATGTAGAAGGAGCAACCATCTAATAATACTTTAAATCTGTCTCCTATTGATTCCCTCCCAGTTTTCCTGCCCAGTTTTCCAGTTTTCACACCTTCACAGAGTTCTGTGCTCCTGTTCAGAGGTCTGGTCAAGTGGGATTGGGAAGGGGCGTCTTGTCAGGAGTAACAAGATGTGATTGATTTTTGTGTCAGCAAAAAGAAAACTCAGAATGAACCAGCTGCTGCACTAAAAAAAGCAGGGGCTTTAGGTTGACTTGCCACACCAGAAAACTGAAAAACACCTTGGTAAAGCTGAGCTGTCCCTTCTGAGTGCTTTACAGCAGGCGGGAAGCTCTAATGACACAGCTGAGACTTCACCTGTGGTGGTGGCAAAGGAGGGAGGGCAAGGGAGTATGAAATTTTTCTTGCTAGGCTGCTGCTTCATGAGGAATAAGGCATACTAGTGGAGAAGGCAAATTGAGCCTCTTAGTCCCAGAGGCACTGAACTGATTAATTAGTGTAAAGTTTCTGATATGTCCTTTTCCTTAATGTTGCCTATTTCCTGGATCCACATACTATTTTCTCATTGTTGTGAGTTTCAGTCTAAATCTCCAACTTCCATGTTAATGTTTATGAGTCTTGTCTCTCCCATCCCTAGAATTAGGAATGTAGCGTTTTGGTGGAACAGTACGAAGTGTCTGAATATATGAAGTCATTTTCTGAATGCTGTGCTAATCATTAATGTGTGCTGCAAAGCAATTCAAGTATTAATAAGAGTTCCACGGAACATAATACAGAGGAACTAGAAAATTCTCTTGAGAAGAAGAATTGATGAGAGTTTTTCCTTTCATCCTGGCAAGGCTTCTTATTTTAGTTGGTACTTTTTAATTGCTATCAGCAGTATCAAAAGACACAAGGTTATGTTAAAGAAGTTCCAGCCTTTGCCCAGAAATCTGTAGATTTCATTCCAGCTGTGCCATATTCAGAGTTAATTGGATGACCCAGTTTTTATCCTGAAACACTGTATGAACTTAGAGACTGTATCAGTACATCTTACAGTTGCTTGAAGAACACATCTATGATCTTAGGTAGAAAAAAGCTGGAGGCCACAACACAGTGTTGGAAGTACACTAGCTGCTGATCACTAAAAAGGGAGGTGACCAGGGGAATGGGAACTCACACCACAACCATAAGAGCCAGATGTTTCCATTTCAGTTAAATTCCCTCCATAAAAGGTTGTTATGAGGATGGTTTGAAGGACAGTGTTCATCGTTTTTATTGCAATAAAGCATCATCCCATTTCTTTCCATGTGCCATCCTGTTTGAAGTAAATCAACTGAGTAAATGAGGTATTCAGGAAACTCTCCTAAGTTCTCTTTACAAACTAAATCAGGCTGTAAGTTTTGGATTTCTGTTTCATTCATCATGTGCTTGAGATCTCCTCATGTTCTTGTTAATAATTCAGCCTTCAGCTATTCCAGGTTTATTGCTCAGCGGGAGAGCACCTTTTGCTGGGTCCAGCATATGGCCAACGGAAGCTATGTCAGGTAAGGACTACAAGCTTTAATTTTTCAACTTTTTCTCTTTTATTGTTAACCAGCTTTGAAACAGAACTATGATGCATACAACAATGTTCATGTATGTCAACAGCTGTTAGCTTGGGTAGCCAGTTACTTTGAAACAGCTGGAGATATGCCAAAGATCTCAGGTATCTTGAAGGCGGTCATGCTTTTACTCTTTTTGTGTTTTGTTGTTACAGTATCTGCAAAGTCAGCAAATTCTGAAGGAAACTGGATTAGGTAAGAAAGAACTTTTAAACTCCATGTCTTATGGCATGTTGGTGAAAAATAGATGTATTGTGTTGTTCTGTCTCCCTCCCACAAAATAGAAAAGTCCTTGTCTCACTCTGGTAACATGTCATAATTCTATTCCTGGTGGGCAGCTATTAGCTATGAATTGTTACTCTGTTTGGAGATACATTTCTTAACCTTTTTCTTTCCTTTTCTCATTTATTTATCAAGTAGTGAAATTAAAACAACTGATGTAGGCAAAATAGCTGACTCCCAGATTCGTCATAACAAGTCCATAGTAAAGAAACAGTAAGTTACTCACTGAGAACACACATTTAAAAATAACATTGATTAGTGGCTCTGCTATTGTTTCTCAGCGTGGCCTTCATTTGTGACAGCATGACTGTATTTGACTCAGATTGCATTAGAAGCATTAATTCTATTCTCTAACATTCCCTAAGATAGAACAGCCCTTCTGACTGATCAGTTACTTCTCTTTCTCCTCCTTTTCATAAATTAGTTGCTAGTAGAGACTTCTGAACTGTGTGGTGCTTGGCATGATGAAATACAGATCTCCTGGCTGGCAAAATTCTTAGTTGTATTTTTGAAAGAACTCTTCAGCCTCATCTTGGAAAGAAACTGCCACGTTTAATTCCTGCAGACATCACCTCTTAGTTTTCTTCTAAGAGCAATTGTTACAAATCATACTTTAAAGGCTGCTAGTCTTGCGTTATGAGTCTATAGTGTTGATGGTTTCAGTGATGGACAGTGCCTGCAGTACTGGAAGAGAAATAAGATTTTGCAGCCTTAATGCTGTAAGAAAGAACTGTACTGCTTTCATTACAACTTCTGTCTGGAGAATTGACTCATAGCACACTTTTTCCTTTGTGTGTTCTTTGCAAAATAAAATAAAATTAAAATATGGTAGCTCACTCTTCCCTCAGAATTCACGGCCACAAAAGTGTCAACCTATTTGTGAAAGGAAACGCAAAGATTTCATTGTAAGGAATTTTAACAGAAAAATCAGTTTACAGAGAACATTAACACTGAATGCGAACACTGAAACAGGTTCCAATTAAGGATTTTCTTATCTAAGCATTAAGTTAATCTTCTTGCGTGTCTATTTTCAAGTATTACAGCAGAAGGACTGTCTCTTTCTAAGACGCTGTGGTAATGGAGCTAATGACAAAACAGTTGGTGCTGTCACACTAAGGTGATCTTCACTCTTGCAAGACAAAACATAGTTAGACTGGCACATTTTTGCAGGGGTAGGCGCTTAACCATGTGTATAAAAGATTTGACTCCTTTTAGCCAGCAGATGCCTCTGTCCTTGGCCAAGATGTCTTTACAAGATATATAAAAATGTAGAATGCTCAACAGCCTGTACTATATGCTATGGTTTTCTCTCCAAAATGCTTTGATTTGTGTCATGGAAATGCTAAGTTGCAGCCTGACCCAGTGATTGAGCACCTAGTGGGAAGGGGAGCTCAGGTGGATGTAATGCAACTGAATGACTGGAAAGGGTGCAACCAGGATCCACCCTATCCCAGACCTCACTTAAGGGTTGGCAGTAGAGGTACAGGTATCTTGCATGTACCTAAGGTATCCCTGTCTACCTAAGACCTTCCAAGGGTAAGCAGATTTTTTTTTTCCCCCTTTGTTTCTGTGTCAATGGCTGCTGTATTTGGACTTATCCTTGCTGCAGCCTAGGACTTTGCTACCCTGCTGTCACTGCTGTGCTCTCCGTTGCGTTTTAGCATTACAGACCTCTAAATGTATAAATGCTCTGGGGCTAGGTGGAGGATCTTGAAGTGTTGCAACCATACCAGCTCAGGTAAAGCTGTCGTAAGGCCTATGGCTGCCAGACTGCTGTAGTACCAAGTAAACTCTTCGCTTTATCCTTGACCTAATTCCAGTTCTGTCAGGGAGGCTGTACTGAACTTCTAGGTATTCAGTTGCACCTTATCTCTCCTCCTTCTTGCCTCTGTACTCATTCAAATGGAGTCCATTAACTGCTGTCCAGCATTTCCTTGTTCCAGGTGTGCTGCTTTCCACCTCTGACTGTCTGCAGATGGAAAATTTCGCTGAACAGTTCCTTAGAAGGACTTGGAGTCGCTAACACCCTGCATACTATAAGGGCCTTGATATAGGGTTTGGTACACCAAGTATCAATCGAGATTTAAAATTCATGCAGAAATGGTATGTGTTGCATGGAAAAATATACTGGGCTCTTACTTTGTTATAACATGGTAGAGGCACCTCTCTGTCTGTGAAGACTCTTTTTTTGTGTGTGTGTATGATAATAGAAGAAAAGATTAAAAAAAAATAGGTGGAGTTTTCTTTTTGGCATTGAAATCAGAAACAACAGGAAATTCTGGTTTAGACCATTTGGAACAGTGCTGGTTCCATTTTTTGTTGTTTCCTGAGTAAGTGTAAAACTACAAGAGTAATGATGATCCCAAGGAATACTCATCTTCATATTTCACTATTACTTGGAAAAAGAAAAAATCCCGTCCTTTTGTCTTGTAAATATTTCCATGTGAGTGAGGAGTATTTTACTAAACTCTGCCAAGTGGAGATGTTTCTGATTTAGTGTTCTCTGCTATTTTTGTCTTCAGCTTAGGCACTGAAGAAATGACAGCAAAAGAGCAGAATCTTACAGTAGCTCGGCTAAATAATGATTTGTTCTATTTGTTGGTGACCTGTGCTGTTGCCAATTCTTGTCTTTTTCATGATCTCTTTACATATTCTTTTCTCTGCTGTGCAGCCCAGCATGAACAAGAGAATAGAAGGAAATTGCTATTAATCTGGTCCTAAAAGACAGGCATGGCTAGAGGCTCCAGGTTCACTTCTTTCTTCGTTATGTCCCCCACTTATACGTCTGGGTAAATGTATCCAAATTTATCAATCTGGCAGTGAACTTTAACACAAAGTAATAATTAATTTAAGCAGAGAGAAAATGGAAATGGATGCATTTGGATGCAAAGGATGAACCCCCTTAGTGTTGTAAAGACTCGAGTGTCCACTGAACACACTGATGCTCTGTTTGGTGGAAGATGACTTGCTTTCAAACACTTAGCAGTTTATCCAAGATACTACAGGATCCATCACCTAATCAAAACATTTGTTTTAAAATTATTTTCAACACTTGTCCTCCGGCACAGTTTCTCTTTCAGCTCTTGTATACTTTTTAATACATTGACTTTGAGGACATTAGCCAGCAAATCTAGAAGTACAGGATGAGAGAGCTTGTTTGTTTGTTTGTTTGTTTGTTTGTTATCACTAGATTTGCCAGTTAAATACTTTAGATTCTATCTATGTAATTGCTAACTGGTTCCTTCACCTCCACCATGGGATGATCCTGTCATGTTGGTAACGTGTCCAAATAGCCTGTCATCATAGAAAGTCACTGACCTGTGTTATCTGATTACAAAACCCCTTCTGAAAGGAAAAGAAGAAAAAAAAAAACAAGCCTATAATTTTTATTATTCAAAGTATGTAGTATTTCTGTTGTTAACAGTTTTCTTTTGTGTGTGAAGAATAAGCAGATTGATTGTGTTAAAGATGAGAAATTAGACGAGGAGTACTAAGAAGTGCAGAATAGGGTGACAGTTTTCCTGCCTTCTTGTACATTTTTCACACTTTGTATTAAACTTTTTGGAATGCTGAATGATAGATATGATTGATTTTTATCTCATTTGTAAGGGTGTGTTTGGTGCACATCTGCACCATCTTGTTTTCTCATCGTTTCTGTCAATAGTTATGTGGATGATCTTTATACTTTATGTGCAGCCTTTGAAGTGGATATAAAGACCAGTCAGGCTACCATTTCTAATATGTTTTCTTCTTTCAAACCTAATATAAATGTCATCTCCATTATGAGCAACTGTAGCAGATGGAGCTATGGAACATGGATCAAAACATTTAATGTAATTAAAAAAAAGAGGTAAAGTACATCTTCAGAAATTACAGAATACTAACAAAAACCATATCTTTAATTTGTAGCTCTTTTGAGAAAGTTTTCAGAAATTATTTGTATTATGTTTATAGAGGAAAATTCCCCCATTCCTTTAATTATTTTTATTGTATTTTTAGCCATTTGAGTCTTACATTCCTATTTACAGAGGAGATGGTCAGTGAATCATCTAAGTCTGGTGAAGTGCTTATCCCAGTTGTAGTTTGGGCTCCTTCTGCTTTGAACAGTGGAGGACTATCCTGATGGGTTGTTATCATGTATATGTCATAACAGAGAAATTGGCTTCCTTTAACAGCTCAATAAAAGGCATTTATGATGGCATAAGATTGCTCAGCAGAGATCTTCACTGGGTTAGACAGCAGTGCTGAGGTAACATGCTTGGTTTTGTGCTACTTCACAGCAGCTTAGTAGTTGCTGTGAAATTGACACCAATCTGTGTAAAGGCATTTGGAAAAGAATTAAACTGTACCCTGTATTGGAAGGTGACACACTGAAAGACTTGGGTTGCAATGTGTACATTGAGTGCTATTAATACTGTTTTACTTTTAAAAGATAGATAATGTCCTTTAATTTACAAACAGTTGTGACAGAGTTGTGTTCCTCCCTATCCCTCCCTCCCCTCTATCCCAAAAACTGTGATGATACTTCCACATGTAAAATGCAGTGTGTCCAGGGGCATGTCTTTTGCAAACTGATAAACTGCGGAGCAACGATGTGGGTAAAGCAGCTTTCTAGGCTTCAGTGCTGCACCAAGTTCCAGGAGGTTGCAATGCTGTCAGGTCCTCAAAGTGCAGCTTTCTTATGGCTTCCTTGAGTTCACCTCCTCATTCTGCAGTCATTCCTTCTGATTCCTGGCAAGGTGTCTCTGAAAGGGCGAGTTGTGAGGTGGCTCTAGCTTCCATTTAAAACAAAAAGTTCCAATTTTTAGGTTTTTTTTTTCAAGAATATTGGTCTCAGTTTCTATTTTGATTGACAGTATCAGTTCACTCTGTCATCCAGTAATCCTGTACTGACTGCTGATTACACATGCATG